ATATATATATCATATATATATATATATATATATATATATATATATATATAATATTTGATATTAAATAATCGAAATATGAAAGTTAACTGTAATATTTACCTACGTGGGTAGGTGAACTAGCGATGAGACAGGTTTCACATTCTTGTTGTAGGGGCCTGACATGTTAGCCTACGATCAAAATTGGTCTGGACATGTTTCAAAGTTGTGGCGTCACCTTCACAGTCCAAGTCATGCGGTGGTGGTGTGTAGTAGACAGTCGACGTCGGCGTGCGAGCATTAAGTTCTTGTGCGAACTGAGAGAATCAACTTCAGAGAAACTATCGGCCGTTCTACACCGTGGCCTAGACAGTATATTATTGAACATTCCTATGTGCACGTTTTGCAGTGTTTGCCTGATGCCGTTCCAAAGGCTCGACGGGCCAAGTTGGCAAGAAAAGAAACATCTGCATCACGATAAGGTGTCAAGCCACACGCCGCTAGTTTTGCAGAAATTCCTCGCCAACTACATTCCAAATTGAAGAAACCCATCTCCATTTGACCTCAGTCAAATCTCTGTTATTATTTATATACACTTTTAAGGGGCATCTGTCCTATTTTCACAGTTAACTATGAATTTTTGAAATTTTCAAAAGTTTGAGTTTTTGCGGGGTCTTCTACAAAATTACAAAAGTATTACTAACTACAAAATTTAAGAAAGAGAGTTATTCTTCAAATAAAATTTGTTCTACATAGTGAGTTCTCTCATTAAGGTCATGCACATTTTTTAACGTTTTATTAGTTTTCGCGTAGTACTGTAGAAATATGTGCAATTTAAAAAATTACAAAAACTAGTTTTCTCAAAAACTGCTCGAATTTTTTTTCTTTAAACTTTTGATAGGGATTAACCTAAATGCTCTCAATAGGATGACATAAACGTCAAATTGCTCTATTCTTTTGTATTTTCAAAAATTACAAATTTTTTTTACTTCTTTCTACTTGGTTAATCCTTGCAGTAGTTGCAATTTGGTTACATTATTATATTGATGAGTACATGTGTTTTAAATAATGTCACAGAAAGCTTCTTGAAAACTCAACCATTTTCTGTGAAAACGAGCTCAAAATTCTGCTTTTTCAGAAACGTTAAAACATCATACTTTTTTTAAATCGACTGCAAGTTTTGGAATTTTCTGGAAACTTTTGGAATTGTACTCTTTAATATGGCGTTAAAATAATTTTGGGGTATTTTTTTCTAAAATCACACAAATGTAATTTTTTTTATGGAACCCTCACGCCGGTAATATGCACATTTACAGAAATTTGTAAACTCTATTGTATTTGTGAGTTAAAGTTCTTCAAATGACTTCCTATGAAGTTTTTCGAAAACTCAAAAAAGTTTTGTGAAAAAGAGCATCAAATTGCAAATTTTCAGTAGCGCCTAAGCGCCATTTACTTAAAAACGGCTGCATTTATTTAAATTGCCATTTATGACGAAGTTTTACTTATTAAGAAGTTCGTGTGTCATTATGACGAAGTTCTATAACATTCTTAAAACAACATTTCCGTTGTACTATTATTAAACCAAAAATTTAATAAAATTTCAAAGAAATATACTTTGGGCGGCGGTAGATGGCAGCAGGTAAGAGTATGTGGCAAATTCGAGGCCGAAGCCAAAGGAAGTCGAAAATTAATACCGGTAAGCTTGTGCCATTCTGTATCACCACAACTTTTATTCTTAGCCAGTGCCAGTAAAGTACGGTCAGCCAGTGAAGTATCTGATTTAGTGCCATAAGGTAACGGTGACCGAAGAGTGCAGTGACAACTTGGGAGTGTTGCCATGCAATATGATGATTAGACACAGGATATCTATGCAACTGCATGGTTTCATTTACGCGTCATAGACCTTTAAACTATCAAATATAATTTTCATGACATTTATTTTCAAAATGTATACTTTTCCGAACATGTTTGCATGCTGAGGTAAATTTGAGAAGAAATTCATCCATAATGCATGTTTGGAAATTTTTTTCAATTAATACTGCATCTTTTGACATGGTAGCATATTAGAAACTTTTTAAAGCTATTTTTGCATAAGTTTTAAAAATTTAAATTTACGCATATTTTTCATAACGTGTTATTCTTAGATCCTTACAGTACAAATACGGAGTTGCCTTTGATGTTTAAAACGGGTACATACCCTCAGAACCACAATTGCGAAATAAATCACTATCAAGCGATTAAGTAACAAAAGATAAATGAAGATGGAGGAAGCCGTAACTCATTATCATTTGATAACTGACAATGGGAGAGAAAATAATTAATAGCAGACACTCAGTCGCCTTTCTTGAAAAATAATAAAGTTAAGCTAATAACAATGAATTTAAGAAACATAATACATATGTAACCACCGACTCTCCCGATTACCTGATTTCCTTCGGCGATTCAGCTTTGCCCGGCTGCTTCGTCGGCAGACTCCTTAGAGGGAGGCATGCGTGATTGCCTAACTACTGGAGAGACCGACTTAGGTATTTTCTTAATACTACTTTAATCTCTCTTGAATTCGGTGCGGGTGAAGCCCAGTGACATAAACAAACTTACAATTAACTTATAACTAATCTTCACTTAGAAAAGACCGGCATGGCCAGAGTTCATCTTATTCACCCTCCCGGGCGGTCGTGACTCAGCTTACAGGTGCGGCGTCCGGGCATCCCAGCGCCCGGCAGGTCTGGGGCAGGCAGCTACGGTCGGTGCTTGCCCCAGGTCCCTTTGTGGCGGCCCCTCGGCGGTCGCGGCGGCGGCCCTCAGTTCCGGATTAAGCCAGCGGCGTGCGTCGACCGGACGGAGCAACGCCTCAGCGCAGGCGGCGGCGAGAACGCGCCCGGGCGATGACGGGTCGCTTATTGATATTGTATTTCACGCCCCGTCTCGTACTCACATGGGCCCTTTCTGTCAGGCACTCACTCGTGGAGTCCCGTTCCATCGTTCGGCTTCCGTCACACGAGTCGAGCTGCGATGTGTGCGAGGTGGCGTGGCATTCGGTGCGACCAGGCACGAATAGTCCCGGAACCGAATCAAAGTAACAAGAGCACTCGCGGCTGCCTCACAAACAAGTGTCCTCGCGGGTGGCTCCGACACAAGTGTTTTTCCCTGCCGCCTCCGAAAACAATTGATCTCCTCGCTACCTCTGACACAAGTGCTCACCCCGCTACCTCCAACACAAGTCAACGATTCTTTCTTCGGCGGTCCCTCTGGAAGAGCTCGCGTGTCACGTGATTCCTCCCCCGCATCGTCTATTTTAATTGGCTGTCGCGCCACCTGCGGTTTCATCCTCCTATCACGGCGCCAGCGGCGAAGCTACGCCCCCCGGCAACTTTCCCCGAAGTTACCTCCGTCACGCAAATTCTAAGAACTAGGCGCGGGTAATTCCATTGCTCGGTTTGGGGGTGCGGGAGGCGTATTTCCCCATACATCACAAGGGCGCGTCCGGCGTGGGTTGCGCTGAACAAAGAAGGCGCATTCCTCCTTTCCCCCGGCGCGCTAAGCGCCCCTCCCACGTATCGCAGGAAACGGCATTTCCGGCCACTCTTAACGGCGGCGCGATTCTTAATTAAATAAAATATTTTGGTTCGTGTCGCCATCTGATATGTGCGACCGTCCCATTACACATAATATGAAATTTTGTAAAATTGCCTAAAGCAATTCAGGAATTGGAAGCAGCAGGATTCCCTCTCGTGGAGTAATTCAAATATGTGTACAACATTAAAATGTCTTTGGAAGGAGTGTTTGGAGTTGGGAGTGTCACTGCTAGTAAGAATTTATACTAGTGTGTAATTCAAATTCTGGTTTAAACTTTCTCCAAAATGTAAAAACATTTTTGTGGTGAAAAAAAACAGAAAATTCGATCAAAAAATCAGAAATAATTTAACCTCACATTGGCACAAATTTTATCTTTGAAGTATGCTCCAATAACGTCTTTGGTCGTAGAATGCGTTTTCTACATTCAAAAACTTTTCCCTCTTGCAAAATGTGAAATTTGACAAAGTGAAATTGAGAAAATTGTAAATTGTTTCAAAAGGATATAAAACAGAAAATATTCTAAACCTATATATGATTGTGCCTGTTTTACCAATATTTTTTCAGAATCGAGCATTTTTAGCAATTTGTTGATGCATGTTTGCATGCATATTTGAATATCTCACAGTGCATGGAAATCCTGTGTCTAGTGATATTTCCGATGTGACTGGTATAGGCAAATCAGTCAAAATAGCTATTGTAAATCCGGAACTAGAGCAATATGGTTCAGTCTAAATCTATATAATAAATCAAATAAATTTATTTTTTACAATACGGTAAAAACTTACAGTAAGTTTTTGCAGAGTCTTTTCTACCAATATAGTTGCATTTATGCCACTTCCCTCTCTATTCTCATAGAATTTGTTATTCTGAATTTTTACATAATTAGTATTTTCGACGTCACAGAAAGTTACATTACGAGATCTGTAGCCTATCTGAAAAAGAACAAAATGAATAACATTAGAAAATTAGGGGTTGAAAAATTATATATGAGTGTTTATCTCTCATATTTATATAAATATCAGATTGCATTAATTCCTTACATAATTTTTTGTGATAAAACATCAAGCAGAGAAACTGTTTTATTAGTTTCCTCCCATTCGGTTTGTGGCGCTGGGAAAGGTACTGCCACCCCCCCCCCCGAGGTGACTTACTATGTCTTTTCTAATCATGAAATAAACACCAAGTCACGCGTTTAACATTACATCTGGTGTGCCCTAAGGATAGATCTTTTTAGGTGTCTTAAGAGAATTAAAGCTTTTTCTATCCAATTTTTTTATACGATGTTTGGATACTGGCTATTTAACCTGTGATACGTCATATACAGTGGCCAAATGTCAATGCATACATTCCTGAAGTCAGAAATTTTACTCGATATGAACGTAAAATAAACTATAACCTATCAAATGAACTTCAGTTATGAAGCAATTTTTTCTTGCTTTCTTATTAAGCGTACTGTTTCTATATATTGTTTATTATTCTGCATATTTTTTGCAAAACCTCTTATTGTTACTCATTTATTTCTCTTTATTTTAACCCGTACATTTTCTTTTCGTTTTTGTGGTGTGAATTTGTGTTTTCGGGAATCATTAAAACGAATATTGATTTTCTGTTCGATCCTTTTCCCTAGTATGAAGGTTAGTAAACTAGATATTGTAAGTTATAGCCCTTTGCGGTCGGTGTCGTTGGTAACATAAACATCCCACAGGTCGGAGGGCATCTGTGAGATGACACTCCGAAGATGGCTTCCAGCTCGGAGGTTGGTCGGAGGAGGCAAGTCCTACAGGTCGGAGGGCATGTCTCAGATGGCACCACCGATTCCCTGATACAGTTTGAGGGCATCTCAGAGATGACAGATGTTTCCCGTTATTTTTGTAGACATGATCTGTATCAACAATGTGACCGCGCTTGGAACCGTAAATAGATTAACTATCTTAAACAATGTAATCGCTATCTGATCAAAAAGAATTTATCTCATTCATGGTCGTTGTTTAGTTACCGCGTACTCCTTAGTATTATATTCCAGAGGTGCAGTGAGTCGGTAGTTGTTGCTGGCACGTGAGAATAGACAGTTTGAGCGAAGAAGAGGTAAATAAAATTTTTCAGGAGCTAGACGAAGCTGACAATAGCTCTGATGATGATTTTTTATGTAATGAAGCAGAGAAAAATTCTTCAGATGAACTGGACTCTGATGCAGATGGGTGTGAAAACAGCAGTGACTTTGTGCATGGTAATGCTATGTGGACTGCTTTGGAGTGATAGAGACAAGTTTGATGAAATTCAATTTCATTTGAAACCAGGGTATCGACCACCAAGAATTAATCAGCCTAAAACACCATCAGAATATTTTCAACTTTTTTTACTGATGACGTGATCGAAGGCATTGTAAATGAAACCAACAGGTACGGTGATGACAAAACAAAGAGAAATATGCCTTTTACAAAACGCAGTATATGGTCAAATTGGCGTCACGTCACCAATTCAGAATTTAAGGCATTTTTGGGTGTTTTATTGAACATGGGTTTTTGAATGAAAAAACCAGAAATGCAAGACTACTTTAATACAGGTTGGCTAGACTATCAGCCGTGTTTTGGGGATGTTGTTAGTAGAGAGAGATTTCTTCAATTTACAGGAATCTGCATGTTGACATTCCAGAGAATAACTTGTCAGTAAATGCTCTGTCAAGTAATTTTTGGAAGACGAAGAATGTAATATACTGTTTAGAAACAAAATTGCAAAGGAATTATACTCCAATCAGACAAATTTCAGTAGACGAAAGCACTGTTGGATTCAAAGCAAGGGTTTCACTCAAAATATATAACAAAGATAAACCCACAGAATGGTGTAACAAAGTGTATGTGTTGTCTGACGACAAAACTGGATATGTTTTTGCTCTAGAACCGTATTTTGGAGCACAAACATATGTTAATATGGTGAGACCTGACTTGCCATACATGTAGAATAGTTGTACATCTGTTTACAAAGTATCTGAATTCTCCCAGATGAGGAAGAGCAGCTCATATTTTCACAGACAGGTACTATACCAGTCCGCAACTATTATTGGAACCACTTGGATGTACATTTGACAGGAACTGTAAATTCCATTGGAAAAGGCACTCCGGCTGAAATAAAACCCTTTTTTTTAATTGAGAAAAGATGTTTTTTAATTTTTTTAAATTATTTAAGGTCGCATCAACTTCTAGGTCATTAGTGACCCCTATTGCGTGTAACGGTATGGTAACAATCAGAATGACACGATATGATGATGATAGGATGTGAAAAGACGAACACAATACAACCCCGCCCGAGGAGGGACTTGAACCCGCCATCCTTCGGTCTGAATTCACTGCGGTACTACTGCCTTAACGATCTCGGACATCCGGACCGGTAAGATGAGATGTTGTTTCTAGGAGAACATCAAAAAATGGCTGTCGTTGCATGGAAAGGCAAACGAGTAGTTATGACCCTAAGTAGTTATTATAATAAACTTAAGACCATAGTGCGGAAACAAAAGTGCGGTGGCATATGGGACGATAGTGCTATTCAGAAACCCGTTGCTGTATGTGAATACATTACTTTCATAGGAGGGGTTGGCATAGCCGATCACTATGGAATGTCATACGCTTTCGGGCGTAAAAGTGCAAAGTGGTGGAGAAAGTTATTCTTCTGGCTGCTGGATGAAGTTTTAAAGAACGTCAATCATTTGTATAACCAGGCTTTTCCATAAGAATAAATACGAAAAAGACACTTTAGAAAGAAGTTAATACACCAACTAGGAGTAGAACTCAGCAGTGGAGCTCTCTTGTAATTTAGATATCATAACATCACCAGACGTAAGGGCAATTTCATGCCATTTACTGTAAAAAAGGGAAATAGAGACTACAGAGTCTGCAGCGACAGACAAAGCGGAAGGAAAACAACAAATTTTTACTGCCTCACGTGTCCTGTCAATCCGGCCCTCCACCTGGAGAATGTTTTGTTCTATTCCACACGAAAAAAGTTCAAAGCAAATTAATATATATATATACATATATATATATATATATATATATATATATATATTCTGTATGTATTATACTTGGCGCTAGAAATAAAATAATTCTTATTTTATCATTGTATTGAGTTGTTTATTCCATATATTTTACAATCAGTAAATGTAAAAGCAAATGTAGGCGTATTTAGTACGTAAATTTCCATGCTTAATAAAAGATTCTGTCTTTTTTTAGAAACAAATATTGAAATATATAATTCACGGTGAGACTATTAATAAACAAATTACGAACGATTACAAGATTGTTTAAAATAAAATACCAATTGAATGACCTGTTACGCGTCTCCTTCCCAGGCCGCGAAACAATGGCCGATCTGACGGAGGTGCACAGCGGGCCCATCCTGCGAGCCTATGCGCCATTTCCGTATGCCATCTCAGAGACCTTCCGACCTGTAGGACCAGACCCCGCTCTAAGGTGCTCGAGTGGAGAAAACACTCCATGATGTCATCTCAATGATGCCTTCCGAGGGCAGAAGAATGGTTTATATTTTCGAAATGTTTACTTCACAAATGGATACATATTTAACAGATTACGAATTATTACAGCTTACGTACCCCAACCCGTCGTAAGAGGCGGCCTACACTAAGACCTCATTTAATTAATATGTTAATAATTGGCTTATTCTGTTAAACTGTTGGCCATAATTTCATTCATGGAATAATTCTGTTAAATATGCTCCTCTACAAGAAAATTTCTAGATGAATTCTCACATTGCTTGGCGACTCATAAAAATAAATACAAGGTGGTGGGCACCGACTTTACAACTCGATAATTCATCGAAAAATACCGTTGCGCTCTTGATACTGCCCATGAATTGACCGGCAAAGAAGGAAAGTGGTAACAAAGTAGTACCTGTTTTTGTTAAAAGTTCTTTTTCTATCATATAGTATACCAGTGTAGATACCAAATTCTTTATTTAAAAAGTCGACGTATAGGATATCTGATATCTGCTTGTGATCAATTATGCAAATATGTATTTAATGCGCTCGAAGCATTTTATTGTAAAAAGTAGTTTTCTTAGTTGGAATGAACAATTATTATATCACCTTCCTTTTTCCGTAATGTACATAATACTCACCTCAAATAGTTCATTATCGTCGTCTTCTGTTTGCACCCTTGCAAACAGGAGAATTAATATTGTGTATGACAATGCCTGGAAAATACTCATGTTTCACTAACACAAGACTGACGGTTCCGTCATTCCTATTTATAGTATTTCCATCTCATATTTTATCTAAGGCTATTAAATTGTCAGTTTAGAGAGTTAGATAAAAGTTAGTTCTCAGATAAACAGTTAATATGCAGTTAGATAAAAAGTTAATAATAAATTAGATAAAATAATCAGTAAGAAACGATAGTTCACTGTTAAGACTCAAGAAATAATATTTCCGAAGCAGTTTTTCGTAATTTGTTTGTATTAAGTATAGGTTGCTGAATGGTATTATAACTCGTAGAAAAAAGAGACAATGAGAGAAATAGCGTGTTTCCAAAGACGCAAATTTGTTACGGGGAGACAAGATAGGGTGCGCGAATGAATGAACACTTCAATGTAGACTGAGAATATTAACGTGACAATTTGGTTTTAAAATCTCAAAAATAGTGACTTGTATAGATGGAGAGATATTGGAAATTTGACTTTGGTCCAGGATAAGGGAAGGTTCTCCAGCAAAAATTAATATGTGATTCTCAAGTAAGAAATAAGATATTCGCGGAAGTGGAGAAGGTAACATATGGCGATTGATTCTTGTTACACAAATTCACAATTAATATATTCGATTTGTGTTCGATTTATAGTGTACTTATTTACATTACGTATTTACGTTACTTACATTACTTAGTTACGTTATTATTTACGCTAGTTATTTACATGCGACGTTTGGAGAGGCAAT